GCCATTGTAAGGATATTTTAAAATAAATAAAATCAAAATTTTCTTTTATTTTAAAACTATGCGGAAAAACTTATCCTTACAATCCATATGAAAACTTGTTGTTATCTATTCCTAAGCAATATCTCATAACTCCTAAGAAGTAGCTCAAGAATCCGATTTCAAACTACGCGATAGAAATCCATCTATGCGATCAGATTCAGCATATTCTTTCTTTAAGTTCCTTCACTTTTCTTTGATTCTTAAAACATCACATGTGACCCAGTCACATCATGTATAAGAATCTCAGAATAGAAACTTAACAGAGTTAGATAGTGGACTTTACCTGAAGTAGAGTCAAACTTATTGACTTTAACATCCTTAGGTAAATTTGGCAGCTTCGCAACTAATGACCCTTTCTTTGGCAATATAAACATATGGACCCTTTGATAATGGTACACGGGACTATCACAGACTTAGCTTTTCTCTTTACCATTTGTCAACCGAGTTGACTATGGCCGATCCCTTTCCATTGGGAAGAGAATGCTTTTCTGGATTTCCTGTGTCACTATTGTCAATGTCCATCAAGTTTTGAGGAAGTTGATCTTAACAAATAGATAAGATCATTAAGGGTCTTGTCATAGTCTGTTTCATAGGTGTTCCAAAAGAACTCACTATGTGACTTAGAAAGTGATTGAACCACCAACTTTCTCAAGACTTTGACACCCAACTCTCCCGGCTTGTCAATATGTGACTACATCTCCAAGATGTGACCACACCTAGACCTTGCCTTGCCAATAGGGCTTGAGTGACCTTAAACTTTTAAGAACTTGTGGGTTAGGGAGAATAATTGGAGGAGGTGAAAGAAGTATGATTTCCATGGGACATCATCTTCATTTAGGAAAGCTTGTTTCAAGAGATTTGGGAAGATCATAAATGTCTAAACCAGACATGTTTTGGGAGATATTCAAGATAGTTGATTTAAAGTCCTTAATATGACACCCAATATGAAATATTAAGGCTAGGACCCAACAAACTATTTTATAACTTAGAAGAGGTATGCCGTAATCCAAGCTATAAAAATTTGAAGGTAGGTGAATGACGATTCACCAATTTCCACCAAGATAAACGAAATGTATTATTAGGTTTTAATTGGTTTTGAAACTCCTAGATCTTTTGAGATTCATTGAACTGTTCAATGGCATGTTTCAATCTCGAGTGTGCCCTTCAGGTTTTGTGACTGGGATGCCGAGGATCACAAAACAAGGTGTGAAGTAACCATGCAAATTACTTGGTACCCTTAAGTGTTTACCCCTCAATCGATGTGCCGGTTAACCACACACGCTCCATCGATACTATGATAAACATTAAGTTACCCTTTGCCTACCTTGTTAAGTACGTTAGTGTGCCGGTTAACCACACACGCTCCACTAACGACTTAAACAAAGTGAAAGTGTAATTTCATGGATTAGCACCTTATTCACATTTTCCTAAGTAACTAAGATTGGGAATTATTAAGAGTTTAGTTACTTAGTATTTATCATTAATACTTTTAATGAAGGGAGAATTATAGTCCTGTCAAACCCGTTCGGCTAACGACCCTCCACCAGTCAAGCAAGCGGTGGGTGAGAGTGGACACCCATTAAGTTGCCATTTTATAGGCAACAACCTTATACCCACCTTATAGACCGGCTTCGTGAATGAGGCGTACTAGCGGTAAGACCGACTTTACTCTTATACATATATATATTATTAATTATAATATTATAAAGTATAAGGGTTGAATTTTAACTTTTAAAATTCTAAGGGCTAACTTGGAATTAAAGTATTCATAAGAGAAAACTTTACAAATTCCAAAACTTGAGGGCAAGTTTTGAAACTATTCAAAACTAATTAATTCCATAACTTATGTGTTTAAAGTAGTTTTAATCCAAAAACTCTTCAAGTTCCATAACTTATGGAAGACTTTAAACTAATAAAAGAATTAACTTTTCTTTATTTTATAACTTATGGAATTAATTAAGGTTACATTTTTTATTTTATTTTTTTATTTAATGAAGAGACTCTTGGTCCTCCATAACTTGAGGACAAATTATGGAGTCATAACTCCAATTAATTAGAACTAGACTCTTCATTTTTGTAACCTTTGCCAACTTTTATGAGTTTTATGAAACTTAAATGTGACTTTTCATATAACTTGAGGACAAGTTACAAAAACACATTTTAGAATCAACTCTTAGATTAATTTGGATTGAAAACAACTATTTCATTCAACTTTTCTATTAATCTAAGCAACTCATAAGAACAAGATAATTCAAATCAAACTTTTTCATGTAATTAGTCTAACCTTTAAACTAATACAAAACATGAATCTATTGACAATTATCTTTGAAATTGGATTAGCATGAACATTACCACATCAAAAAACAAGTTTATAAGTTCAAAAACAACTTAGGGTAATGTTCCTAGTCCATTTCTAGCCAAAAACCTCGAAATATGCTGTCTGGGGTCCAACTCGTCGAGTGCATGAACAACTCGGCGAGTTGGATGCATTTTCCTTGGACTCGTCGAGTCCCTTCATGGACTCGGCGAGTCTGCTGGGCTGACAGCATCAAAACTCGATTTTTCAGCTTCTATTGCAAGTATAACAAGAAAACAAGCCTAGGCTCTGATACCACTGTTGGGTTATGAGCATTCTAACACTCCTAAGTGTACATGCAACCCTAAATACCTTGGATCTATGTTTTCTCTATTATACATGCAAATATGAACATCCAAGGTATTATCCTAATCTAGCATACAAAACTATCAATATAACAAGATAGAATACATACCTCTTTGATGTAGAATGTCTTCATGAAGCTTGAGTGCCTAGTGCCCCAAGTGTGACACCTCAAATGGTTCACACAACACCAAATACACTTGGAATAACTTGAGAGAATTCTACACTTCATGAAATCGGCTAGCCCTCTCTAGAATAATCTAGTGGCCGATTTTGTCAAGAATAAATCTTTATATAGTGTTACAATTAGGGTAAACCCTAATTGTCATGACTTTCCATTTCCTTGGATCCATGGGTTCAAATACACCATGGAGCATCCATGGAGCATCATATGGGTTTTGGCCCAACTAGATAATCCATGGAGCATTAGCCCACTATATAAGTATGGATGATTTACACAATCAACCCATATATTTAATTAGTCTTCTTTTGATCACTTAATTAATCCTAGATTAATTCTTGATCAATACTAATTAAATAATCTTATTATTCTTATTATTAATATACTAGAACTTATAATATATTAATAACCATAAGTGTCTTATTTCTCTCATTATAGTCTATCCAAGTGCATGATGCCATGCAACCCAAATGGACCATGCCGGGTCGGGTCAAGTCTTACCAATTATAGTTATGGACTTAGACATTAATCCAACACTTCTGACACTGAATTCTTTAGTAATTTAATGTTAAATAAAAGGACTCAAAGTTCACTTGGTGAATCTTTCAAATATAAATGTGTTAAATCTAAAAATGTGTTTACCAAGAAAAACTTTGGTACTAGAATTTGCTACAGGTGTGGTGATTCAACTCACAAAATCAGTGAATGCAAGTTTGATAAAACATCATTAAGAGCTGATAACATCAAAGTTAGAAATGAAAAATGGATTCTTAAATCAAATTCTTTAAACTGTCTTCCTAAAGAGTGCTATAATATATTGTCAAATAACTTTGTGAATGACCCATCTTCCAATGGGTCAGTGTGTTCTAACTAGTTTCTCAGCACTGCAGGGTCAGGAGCATCTTTGGTACTTAGATAGTGGTTGCTCAAGACATATGACAACATCCAAGTCTCTCCTGGAAGACTATGTCAAGAAAACTGGTCCTGCAGTAACATACGGAGACAATGGAAAGGGGTTCACTAAAGGATATGGAAATATCAAGTGCAATAACGTGGTGTTTCAAAATGTTTCATATGTAAAGGGTCTCAAACATAATCTTATCTCAATCAGCCAATTGTGTGATGCTGATTATGAAGTTCACTTTACAAAGAAGGAAGGAAAAATTGTTTTACTAATGTTTGCTATTGTCTTATATACTAATGTCTTTTTTTGTACTGATGATGATGCGCTGATGATGTTTAGCATGCTGAGTTCATTGTATGATCTCTTATCTCTCTCTCTCTCTCTCTCTCTCTCTCTCTCTCTTCTACAAATCTTCTAAACTAAAGTTGAATGATTCACTGTATTAAACCATACACTGATAACAACTTGAAACTTTTTGTCGATGGTTAGACAAAACACCAAGTTCTATCACACGCAACTATCCACTCTTACCAATCTTACACTGATTCTGTGATTCGGTGTGACAAAACACATGCTGATGAGAATCTAACAGTGTTTGCCGATGGTTAGACAAAACACCAAGTTCTATCACACGCAACTATCCACTCTTACCAATCTTACATTGATTCTGTGATTCGGTGTGACAAAACACATGCTGATGAGAATCTAACAATCTTTGCCGATGGTTAGACCAAAACACCAGTGTCTATCACACGTAACAATCCTCTCTTTACCTTCTTCTCACTCAGTGTCTAATGATTCAGTAAGAAATACCACTCACTGATAAAGACTCGACACTCTGTGCCGATGGTTAGATAATTAAACTAGTATCTATCACACGCACCAATCACCTTGCTTACCCTAAACAAGCAAGTTGTACCTTGAATTGACGACAAACTATCTTTCAGCATGTAACTTTCCGTGACAACAATCTCAGTGCTTCCGCAGTCACTGATTGTCGTTTCCTCTTTGGTACAACGACTTTATTTACCCAACGGCTATTTTTTGAGTTGACAGTCTGTCAAGATACGCAGTTATTTTCGCTAAAGATAATCATTACTTTTTACCGTTTCATTCCCTATTTAAACCTTTTCACCTCTTCCCCATACCTTTTTACCTTCCTCCAATCTTCTCTCTCTCTTAACAAAAAAAAAACCCTAGAATCCTAAACTTCTTCAATGGCGGCATCACTGTTCACCTTCTCCTCCACTTCAAGAAGAGTCATCCCAGCTCCAAACTCTCCTCCTCTTCCCATATACATCAAAGCCACCAACGTAGTTTTCAACCTTGATATTCCAGATGTTCATCGAGGTCTTGAACTTGATGATTTTGTCAATTTCTTAGTCTCCTTCCGACTCTGATACGCAATCAGTGACGTTCCATTAGAGTTCTTTCCCGAACAAGTATGTGAGTTCTACTACACTGCAACAATTAATGATGAAAACAACCTCATCTCCGGGACTATTGGCCGTGGAAGACACTCAGTCTTTATTACCGCTGACCTCCTCAGTGCTGCGCTCAGGTTACCAATCTTTGAACCCTTCTCCGAGCTTCCACCTATTGAACGCTGTCGACGTCTCTTTGATCAACTTGGATATGATCACTCAAAGGCTGGTACTCGATCAACTCTCATTCTGCGTCAGTGTATGACTCCAGGATGGAAGTTATTCACCGGTGCTCTATGCAAATGTGGGTTTCACAAATCTCACAGTGGTGATCAACTAAGCACTTATGAGCAACAAGTCGTCTGTTCCCTTCTTCTCAACAAACGACTGGATTATGGGGCTTTCTTCTTTGATCAACTTGTTCAACTTCTTCGTGCAAATGTACGCGCTGATCATGTCCCCTTTCCACGCTGGATTGCTCTTGTGCTAGATAAATTTTTCGCTGAAGCTTACTACTCCCACTCTAGAAACCCCATCCAATGCCCACGCATGTCAGTGCGAATGTATCAGGATGATCCGTTGGACACTGACATCGGCATCTCAGATCGGATGAGAGAATGGATCGCAAATCCATATACTGTTGCTTCACTAACCGCTGATACTGATGAAGAAGCTGATGGTAACAACGAAGATCATGCTGATCAAGAAGCTGAATCACAGGATGGTGGTCATCTCTCCCCTCAACTTTCTCATCATACTCTCTCTGTCACTGAGAGAGTTCACTCAGCTCCCGGGGAGCCACTAATTCAGGGGGAGCAACCATCCCAGGGGGAGCCACCATCTCAGGGGGAGCAACCATCCCAGGGGGAGAACCCATCCATGGGGGAGCAACCTTCTCCGGGGGAGCAACCTCACTCAGAAGAAGTTCCAGGTACTTCATTCCTTCATATACCGGCCTCAGCATTTAATGAGCTTCTAACACTGACTCGGGACATGAGTCAGCGTCTTCTACGAATTGAGGCTGACGTCCATCAGCTGAAGGGAGTTCTCTTGCCGACTCCTTCCCCTGGCCCACAAAATGATGATGATCAAAAAGGGGGAGACACTGATGATGATCAAAAAGAGGGAGACACTGAATCTATTGAGCTTGGATCCGCGGACAACACTTTAGTACAGACTGAGCCACCACGGCCTGTGCACAAGTCTGATAGACCAGCTGCTGACGAGTCAGATAGACCAGCAGATACTGAACAGCTTGCTGAAGATAGTGAGCATGATGATGAACATGATGATGAGTGTCAGATGCTGGACATGAACTTCATTGATCCCACTATTCCAGCTTAAGGAGAATCCTCAGAGGATAATGAAGATGAACATGATGATGAATGTCAAATGCTAGATATGAATTTCATTGATCCCATTATGCCAGTCCAAGGAGAAGATTCAGATGTAGCTAGTGAGGATACTCAACCTCTATCTCGCAAGCGCAAGGCAGCAGATACTGAATTGGCTTCTTCACACATTGATACTTCTCTGCCTAGCAAGAAACCTAAGTCCATTGTCAGCATATCCAACTTGGCAGTTGAATGGAACATGTCTCCTGATCAAGTTAAGCAAATTCTTGATGAAGCCAATCAAGCTCAGCTTCTAAAGAATATTGCTCAAGCTGATGAATCTCTCATTCAGCATCAACTTCAGGCCAAAGGATCCTTTGAAGCTCAGATGCAGAAGTTATTAGAATATTAGTCCAAATCCAAATCTCCCCAGCCTCCTCCTAGTAACAGCAAGTCAAGGACTGAAAATTTTCTAGACAGGATTGATCGAAGAGGTTTCAAGATGTTCTTAAACGATGAGTGAGCAGTGATAAAATCATCAAAGTTAAAGCTTCTAAACCTCGTAATGAGAAAATTCTTACATTGTTGTTCACTCGTCAAGGTCCTCAACATCCATACACTGAAGTTGTCAAGAGGGATGAGCTTATCAGATACGGATA